CAAAATAAAAAGCTTCTACACAGCTAAAGAAAACAATATTCAAAAAAAAAAGAGAGAACCAACCATATGGGAAAACATATTTGCCAATGATACCTCAGACAAGGGTTTAATCTCCAAAATATATAAAGAACTCACGCAACTGCACTCTAAGAAGACAAGCTACCCAATTGAAAAACGGGCAAAGGACTTGAACAGACACTTTTCAAGGAGGACATACATATACTTCACTGGTGAGTACCCATGTAGAATTTTATATGTTGTGACTTCCGGCAAGATGGAGGAATAGGTGGACGCACCGTACCTCCTCGCACAACCAAGAATAGAACAACAATAATTTACCAATATAATATCACTCAGAACTGTCAGAGGATTTATCTGAATGGAAGTTGGACAGCCAAGAAGTTGAAGTAGACCCGTACATCCAGACTGGTAGGGGATGACGAGCCGGGAGGGCGCGGGGCTGGCGCGGGTTGGCGGCGCACAGAGGTCGGGGGAAATTTGGCGCAAAATCCGCACGACAGCCATCCGGGGCGCAAGAACGCAGCAGTGATCCCTGAGTACGCAAGCTGCGGCTGGGGGAACCAGTGAGGCAGCGATTGTGGACCAGGGCAGAGCTCGCAGCCCAGGATCCCAGGGAAGTGTCTGAGCCAAGGAGAACCGAACTGCCGCCATTGTTCCCACCCGTCCCCGATCCCGCCCCCGCTCCCACATATAACGTCACAATCTAGCGACTGGGGTGCCCAGCCCCGGTGAACAACTAAGGCTCCGCCCCCCATCGTAACAAGAGCGACCAGACTGGAAAATAAATAAATAAATAAATAAATAAATAAATAAATAGGAGAGACAGGGAAAGACAAGACATGTTTCCAGCAGAACAGATCAGTCCCCCAGGACTCATCCTTTTGAGCGACCAAGAAATAGCCAATCTATCAGATGCACAGTTCAAAACACTGATGATCAGAAAGCTCACGGAATTGGTTGACTTTGGGCACAATTTAGATGAAAGGATGCAGGTTACCATAAAAGAGATGCAGGAAGATACGCGGAGGAGAGCCAATAGTGAAAGGAAGGAATCTGAGTCTCAAAACAATACAGTGGACCAGAAGGAAGATAGAATCAACCAAGCAGGAAAGCATGATGAAAGAAGAATTCAAAAAATCGAGGGAAAAAGTTAAGAGCATCCAGGACACCTTTAAACGTTCCAACATCCGAATTATAGGGGGTACCAGAAGGGGAGGAGCAACAAGTGGAAAAGTTATTTGAACAAATAATAAAGGAGAACTTCCCCAATCTGGCAAAGGGAACAGTCTTCCAAGAAATCCAAGAAGCTCAGAGAGCCCCAAAGAAGTTGGACCCAAGAAGAAACACACCAAGGCACATCATAATTACATTAGCCAAAGTAAAAATGAAGGAGAGAATCCTAGAAGCAGCAAGAGATAAGGGGACAGTAACCTACAAAGGAGTTCCCATCAGACTGTCAGCTGATTTCTCAAAAGAGACCTTACAGGCAAGAAGTGGCTGGAAAGAAATATTCCAAGTCATGAAAGACAAGGACCTACATCCCAGATTGCTCTATCCAGCAAAGCTCTCATTTAGAATGGAAGGGCAGATAAAGTGCTTTTCAGATAAGGTCAAATTAAAGGAGTTCATCATCACCAAGCCCTTATTTTATGAAATACTAAAGGGATTTATCTAAGAAAAGAAGATAAAATAAAGACATGTATAGTAAAAGGACAGCAAACTCACAATTATTAACAACCACACCTAAAGCAAAACCAAAAGAAACTAAGTAAACAACTAGAACAGGAACAGAGCCACAGAAATGGAGGGCACATGGAGGGCTAGCAGCAGGGGGGTGGAAGGAGGAGAGAGGGGGAAAAGGTATAGAAAATAAGTAGCATAGATGGTAGGTTGAAAATAGGGGGAGGGTAAGAATAGTATGGGAAATGTAGAAGCTAAAGAACTTATAAGTATGACACATGGACATGAACTAAAGGGGGGAACGTGGGTGGGAGAGGGGGTACAGGGTGGAGGGGAGTGAAGGGGGTAATGGGACAACTGTAATAACATAATCAATAAAATATAATAAAAAAACAAAAACAAAAACAAATTTATATGTTGTTAAAATTATGTAGGTTTAAGAGTGTAGAATGTGTTTAAGAGCATAGGAAGTGTTTATAAGAATGTGGGAAAGGTAATAGGAGTTGGGAAGGGTTTATAAAGCCTTAAAATATATATAAATAATAAAATAAATGTAATGCTGATACTTTGCAGATTTTCAACTATTGTGGGAGTCTCTGGAACGTAACTCCTGAGAAAGGTGAGGGATCACTGTACGGAGGATCCAGAGACACATGAAAACATGCTCAGTATTGCTAGCTATCAGAGAGATGCAAATTAAAAACACAATGAGATACCACTTCACACCCTTCCAGAATGGCCATCATAAACAAAGCAACAAACAAATGTTGGAAAGGTTGTGGAGAAAAGGGAACCCTAGTGCATTGTTGGTGGGATTGCAGTCTAGTTCAACCACTATGGAAAACAGTATGGAATTTCCTCAGAAAGCTAAAAATGGATCTGCCTTTTGACCCAGCAATTCTACTGCTAGGATGATATCCTAAGAACCCTGAAATACCAATCCAGAAGAACATATGCACCCCAATGTTCATAACAGCACAATTTACAATAGCCAAGTGTTGGAAGCAACCTAGGTGCCCATCAGTAAATGAATGGATCAAAAAACTATGGTACATTTACACAATGGAATTCTATGCAGCAGAAAGAAAGAAGGAGCTCCTACCCTTTGCAGCAGTATGGATAGAACTGGAAAGCATTATGCTGAATGAAATAAGCCAGGTGGTTAAAGACAAATACCATATGATCTCAGCTTTAATAGGATCCTAATCAACAAAACAAACGAATAAGCAAAATATAACCAAAGACACTAAAATTTGAGAATAGGTTGATAGTGACCAGAGGGGAGAGGGGAGGGAATTTCAGGGGAAAAGGGGAAGGGTTTGCAGGAACAAGTATAAATGACACATGGACAAAAACAAGGTGGAGTGGAAATAGGAGGGAGATGGGGATGGCTGTAGGGGGTGGGCTGGGATGGGATTAAAAGGCAGAAAACCGTACTTGAACAATTAAAATAAAAAATAAAAGAATATAAAATAAAATAAACAAGAATGGGACAATAATATGGTTACATGCATTGTATACCTTGCTAAAATGGTAATTTCTTGGCATACAATTAATTTTATGCTTAGTTTATAGGTACAATCTACAGGGACATATTTATATATTCAACAGCTTTAAAAATGGTGTGTATGTTTGATTAGTTTGTAGGACATGTCTATACTTTAACTATATAATCATAAAATATTTCATAGCATATTTTCCAGTAAGTCATACTATATTCTAATAAACTCTCTTGAGAAGCATTCAGTATTATTTTGGACGTCTTTGATATGAACATAAACTTATCTTTAAATAATTATCATCATCAAATAATCAACAAAAATGTTCTTTAGGGTTAAAAAATATTACTATTTAGTGTATGTTATAAATGAGAACTAACCATTCTATGAGAGTAAGGACTATGCCCAATTTCAGTTATTACTCTTAATTTTATTGTATCAGTGTGAATTTGATTTTGCTTTGACTTGTACAGAATCTTTAAATAATAGTGACTTAAGTAAAATTAAGGTTTCTTTCACAAGCTAACAAAAAAAAATGACAACAGCTAACACAATAGCCACCCTGTGTGAACAGATCAAAATTATATCTATTTTTTGTCAGGATTGGCAAAAAAACATTTTTTTTTGGAGTTCAGCAGAATTTCAGTAACTAGTTTATGTGTGTTGTAAGACTTTTTTCAAAAAATTGAAAATCAGTGGGCTAGAGATATTGGGGTAGAGGTAATAACTTTCCCATGGAAACTGATGAAATCACCTGTGGGAAGTGTGTGGGATTAGAAGAGAAGACAACCTAGATTCAAGACCAGAAGCAGCTCAACATTTAGAGTTTGAGTAGAACAAAGAAAGATGAGTAGGGCAAAGAAGTCAGATAAACCAAAGGGAAGCCAAAGAAAGACTGTTCCAAGAACAGAGTATTCAACTGCAGAATGCTGCCAAGAGTTCTAGCAAAAAGTGAACAGAAAAGGATCCACTGGATTTCATCTCACAGAGATTACTGGTGACTCGAGTGAAAGCCATTTCAGGAGAGTGCAGGATCTGATGACAAATCACAGAGTGATTCTGAGGTGAGGAAATACAGCCACCATCTAATAGTTAAAATTTTGAAGGGCAGCAGTGAGACTGGTGATAGATGGAGACCCTCAGCAACCAAGGAAAATGACCCTGACCACCCAGGAAGTAAAGAGAATAGTACATGTGAATAGCAAAAATTCAAACAAGCAAGGAAAGCAATCCTCACAATTCTTTAGTGCACCAGCACAATGGGGTAATCCTGAAAAGTACTTATACAATCAGGCACACTGTGAGCATTCAATCATGTTAGTTGCTGGTTTAATAAGTTGTCTCTTCAATAGACTGTAAGTGCACCAAGGACAGAGACCATGTCTGTTTTATTCATGTTTGCATTCCCAGGACCTAGCACAGTGCCTGGCACACAGTAGGTGCTCTATAAATATTTCTGAGTGAATTCAGAATTCTGAATACAATCTTAACTACTGTAATAACCATTTTGTAGCCTATAATTCATTTTTTTAATTTGTAAGACGACTGTCACTTAAGCACACTCTGAGTCTTACGGGAAGTAACGCTAAATAACAACGAACCTAGATAAATGACTTTTTACTGAAGAACTATTGACAAGTATTTCACAGGCATAGCAAGATCAACCAGTGAAACCGCCACCCTCCCCAGTAAAATGCCAGAGCCAGTGCTCCTCCGGACCGGAACCGCAGCAGTCACCTTCCCAAAAGGGGGCGCTGAAGCTTCACCTTTCCCCCGCCTGAGGCCCTGCCCGTAGGTCACCTGCAGCGACTGCACTCGGGCCTCCGATCAGACGGCTCCACTGGCAGCTCCCAGAGCCCGTCCATACTGGCGCTGCCCACCTCCTCGCCTAGAGCAGCCACCGCAGGAGCTGCGCCACTCTCCCGCCGCCCCTCCTCTTTAGGCGTCTGAGACTTGGCGGCTGGCGGCCGCTCGCCCGGGTCCCTGCGTGTTCGTGCCTTTTTCTGCGGCTCCATGGCAGGCAGGAACTCAGAACTGGCTGTCACACTGACGCCTCGCTGCCGCCGGAGGGCGCCACACACTGGAGAAATAGTTCCGCGCTGCCAGGCGCCACGTAGGCACGCCACGTACAGGGGCGGGTCTTCGAAGCTTATGCTCTAGGTCCCGCCCCGCAGCGAAGAAGAAGCTACCCCATTGGTCAATAGCCCTTGAGCGTTTTATCCAGAACCAGATTGGGACGTGTAGGTCGGCCTGGGAAACCGTGAAATGTCGTTTTCGTAGGCGGGGCACGTAAGGGGTTACTCTTTGAAAACACCGCAGGTAGCAATGAACCTTCCTTAAAGTCTTTAAAAGTGAAAGTAAAATGGAATTTTACTTCCCGCCTTAGCGTGGCACTTTAAGAATTAACTCGGTGAGTGACACAGCAGTTGCAGCAACTGACGTACCATAGGTGATAGCTAACGGCCAACGCGGGAGAATTTGTACCGCCTGAAAATTGGATTCACGCTTGTCTATTAAATGTGAATTTCTTGCTCTAGAAGAGCAGAGACCTGTGTCCCTATCTTGTACTTCTTGGAATTTCACCCAAAATCAAGGATATTGTTATACAGTAGACACCAAATGAGATTAATATTGTTAAATGAGATTTTAAATTTTCCGAGGCCCCTAAGAATACGAGGCAATAGGAGGGCTGAAATTTTATGGATGAGGAAAAAAAAAAAGCCATAGAAAGAGAACTATCTTGCTGAAGTTTTTAGAGCTCCTGGATAATAGCAATATAGCCCACAGTTTGTTTTTGTTTTGAAAGCCAAAATGAAGTTCACTTTAGAATGATAGCAGAAATTCTACTTTCCCAAAATTGCTTCCATTCATTTATTAATACTTTGTTACTGATACCAATAAAGTAGATTTACCACTAACAGTAAGAAAGCAGTATTTCTAAAAATAAACTTTCTTTTCACTATTAGGTTCTCATTTATCTTAAAATCAGGCTTGTGAATAGAAGACGAGACTACTGTTTTCAACTATCTTGCATTCTTTTCCCCTGCAAACAACACTCATCATTTCTTTTGGACTACTATAAGGGAGGGATAAGAAAAGGCTGAAACATCCACAGGTGATGGATGTAGGATGGGAGAAAGAACAGGCACTTATGGCAGCTGGAATTGGGAGAGAATCAAAACCCAGAGACTATAGAAAGGGAGATGAATCAGATAATAAATACTGACTGCAGATTTAGGTTGAAGAACCAAATCTTTAACTACCAGAATTTATTTCTCATGTGACAACTCTTAAACTCATTTCTAGTTTCAAAATGGAAAATGTTCTCAAGTCATTTATGGTCCCTCTGGACTCCCAACTAAGGCCTCGTATATTTGACTTTAACACTCCATGTTAGAGCACTGGCTCTACCCTTGAAAGCATTCAAAATCCAACCATTTGTTACTTCTACTGCTTCTGCCCTGGTTCAAGTCCCAACACCTCTTCCCTAGGATTTTACATAGGCATATAAGTGGTCCCGGGTTCTATCCTTGTTTTTGTATAACCCATTTTCCCCAAGGTTGACCAGAAGCAAAGAAAACCATGCAGAAGGGATACGGGTAAGGTTGGCGGGGGGGGGGAGATTTTTTCTTGTGGAAAGCAAGAAATTCACTCAATATCTAGGTTTATAAACCCTGACCTTGAAAGCCTGAGGAAATGTATTCACCCATCCAGCTGCCACAATATGTAAGGTTACCAGCCTGACACAGACTGTGATCTAAGAATAAAGACCATCAGTGACCTAACCTCTGGGAAATGCCAAGGTGACCAAGAAGAGGTCCAAAAGATCCTCGAAAAGGTACAACCAACTTACCAGTGCAGAAATGATGCAAAACAGTCTATTGAGATATTGATCTATGTTTTATCTCCCAACTCCTAGTAGGTAGCCAAATCATTATGATTCTTTGCCTCAGGAGAGTTTCAGTGGTATAAACTGACTAAAATATTAAGCCCATGTGTATCTTGGGGGCAGGGGTTAGGGGAGAAGATGGGTAAGTGACATTGGGGTAAATGCAAAAATTGGTATGGGGAAGTCTTCTCCTAAATGGGAGGAAGACAAAGGAAAACAAAAACCCCACCCCTGTGGTCCCCTAAACTCCAGGTTTCTCAGCATTGTGAAAACACTGCTGCTACCATGGAATACATGGAACCAGGATGGCAGAGACAACAGCATCTCATTAGTAGCAAGTGATAACAGAAAGTTGGAACAGCTTCCCTGATGTTTTAGCTGTGAAAAATAATGTAAACAGTCACTTTTAAGTGGAGGTGGAGCTGCCATCCCAGAGGAACTGCCTTGCACACCTTACTCCTCAAACTTTTGGAATGTTAAAACTGCTACTGCTGGCATTTAGCTAGAAAAGGGGAACAAAGGCAATTAGACATTGAGTTTAATAATTCAGAGGCATAAGCCTGTTTGCTCACTAGCCAAGAAGCTACAGCTTCTTACTCCAGGGGATTACAGCATTACTCTGCTAACGGGATTAATACTCCTCCCTCTACCCCTTCAGTACTGGATTATTGGAAGGTGTGGGTGGAGGCACTGGACCGAAGAGGCCTGTCAGTCTAACTAGGGGGTGGACCTATCCAAAGCCCAATTTGGGAAGTTGATTGGTCATTTTGAGAAAGCACCTGGTTTACCCCAAACCCAAGCTCCTGGTTATAACTCCATGGGAACAAATAAACTCTCTCTCTCTCTTGCTTTTGGTCCACACATAGTGCATGCACCTGTTCCCTCCATCGTCTCCAACACAGCAATGAACTAGTGCTGGAAACACATACTAAACAAGCTGGGTGTGAACTGTACTATTCTTTAATACCAAGCATGAACTCTGGGCAGTGGTTTCACTCTGCCCCTACTAAATACAAAATTGCACTTTTTCTATGGCAAGACAGATGGAGAGGAGACATTGGGAAGTCAGGGAGGGGAACTCCCTTAATTGTACATAATCACTAAAACGTACCACAGAGCCACATTCTCCTATGTTGGTCTCAGGAAATTCTTTCCTTTAGAAGGAAAGAGCCCCACCGCAAAAGCCCCACTTCCACTGACAAAAAAAAAAAAAACTGAGCCAAATAACCCCTGGAGGAGGCCTAAATTACCACTGTATCCCAAATAACTGTTTGTAAAGATAACAAGAGCGCAGACATTATGACTGCAGGACTGAAAATTAAAGACCTTTAGCTCTGGTCAGTGTAGCTCGGTTGGTTAGAGTGTTGTCTCATAACCAAAAGTTTGTGGGTTTGATTACTGGTCAGAATACATACCTAGGTTGCGGTTTCAATCCCTGGTCTAGGCACATACAATACCTGGTCTGGGTGGGCATATGGGAAGCAACCAATTGATGTCTCTCTCTCACATTGATGTTTCTCTTTCCCTTCCCCTCTCTCTAAAAGCAATGAAAAAATGTCTTTTGGTGGGGAAGGGAGGGAGGGATGGAGGGATAAAGGAAGAAAGGAAGGAAGGAAGGAAGGGAAGGAGGGAAAAATTACACCTTGTTATTTACTTGCGGCTATCAGCAGAGAGTTGTTCCAAGCTTCTAGAGGGCACCCATGTTCCTTGACTTTCAAGGAAGGCAAACAATTATCTTTATTAAACCTTTTAGGGTTTCTTTAGTCTGGGCCTGAAAATTAAATTGACATAATACAAATCAACATAAGAAAAGCATACCCATTTATTTAACAAGCTTTTCATTACATGGGAGCCTTCATAAGGAATGAAGACCCAAAGAAGTTATGAAACCAATTGGTTTTCATGTCAGGTAAAACAAAGAGGCAATTGTGTAAAAGTGAATCAACAATGTGGGCAGGCTAAGAGGAGATAAAAATTATTTTAACAAGGTCTGTCTGTATATAATCTTTTGATCTCATCTTCCTGGCCTTAAAAATTAGAAGGGTTTTTTCCTTATGGTATAAGAAGGACATCTTTTATATAGGTATTTCATCTCCTGCTTTTAAGATAAATAAGGAAGGTTAAAGTGTTGTTCTTGTATTTGCTATTTTTCAAGAGCCTTTAACACAAAATAGTCAATATGTCAGAGCAGCATATATTTGGGAGGGCATATTCTGAACTTCAGGCACATGGTCCCCATACTATATCTTCAAAGCTGGTAATGACAGGTTGAGTCCTTCTCATGATCTGAATCTCTCCTGTTTCTTCCCCACAGTCACATGTCTCTGACTTCCTTTTCTACTTCCATTTCCACCCAAATAATCCATGATAGTTTCCCTATTTTGTTAACAGACAAGCAAGCAAATTCCATCTACAACCTTAATTTCTTTTTTGCTGGGTCAAGTAACACAATCACAGGAATAATACCAGGGCATGCAGATGATGAGGGCCAAAGTCTTGCCTTCCACATTTGCACATCTAAATTTAAGGTTGCACATTTATACAAACTTCATATGAAAAAATGTAAACATATAAGCCAAAAGTATTGATATTTATATCAAGATGGTGGGATCAGAGGTTTCTCAGGGAGTGTGTTTTTTTTCTTTATCTTACAAATGTTCTGCACAATGACCAGGCGAACCACATTTTTAGAAAAAAAGAATACAGAACATTAACAACTAGACATTAAAGCTTAAAGTGGTCAAAATGTCAAGTAATATAAGGGAGAAATGGTCTCTATAAACTATATTTCTTGAGTTTTTTTGGCTACATTTCCTTAAGAATATATTTCTGATCTTTTTTATGTAAATTGGTAGTGATTCTAGTGATCCTCATATTTACTGCATGTTCCCTAAGTACATGGGTAATGATTATTGGCATAAATTGTTCTTAAATGACCTGGTTGATGATAAAGAGGTGGTGGCCTCTCCCTCAGCCCCTAAGCCCCTGGACCATTTGTTGCTCCAACTCTGGTGAATGGATTCTTTTTCTCAGGAAAGGGCTTTCCTTTACAATTCATGCTTTCCACTCAGCTTGTCTCCCAGGTTGCCTGCACCATTTCTTCATTAGTTATATACCATTGGTGATGCGGACCCTGGCCATCAGGGTCCACCACATTGCGGATGGGGGAGAGACATTTACACGGACTACCAAGTCCTGTGGAGGAAAAGGG